AGAAAGATGGACGGACCAAAGCAGGATCATTGACCGAGAGTTCGGTGTTGACTGCAGTCTGTTGCGTGTTTTTCCTTCACGTCTGAGAGCTCACTGAACACCAGAAAACATCTAAGGATTTTGGATTCAGTCCGCTTTAGGATAAAAACTCCGTGGGGTCTTTTAGTTCCTTTTGAGTATGAATGAATAGAAATTTCCCGTTTGAGTTCTGTAATGTTCCAAGATCAAAGGAGCTTATGCTGAAAATCAAGCTCCGTAAAAACGACGCATACTGTGAGTCCGGGGCGTGAGTGATTCTCCCGGCCCAGTGAAGAGACGGTGTTTGGATACCAAGCTGCAGACTGGCATTTTACCCGAGCCAGCTTTCATTGCTTCCTCCACTTCCTTAGAACCAGTGATCCTTGGAGGATCTTGGTAGTGTTGTTGGGATCACCTCAAGCCACTGACCCAACACGTTTTCTCAAAATCATTCCCCTGAAACAGTTCAGCGAAACACTCTCTTGGCAGCAAAATTCCTCCCTGGGTCTGGAAATTTCATAAGTCAGAGTGAAAACAAAGAATGGTCTAAAATCTGTGGCTGGTACAGAATCTGAAATGTAAATTGACTGCATCAAGGAACCCTTCCTGGCTCACAAGGGCTGCCTTTCTAATTGCTATAATAAAGAATGTTTTCAGAGCTGTGTGGTAGTAAAAGGAAAGTATTTAATATTGGGAAGGTATTTGGAATCCAAATGGGATATCTAGTTGGACCTCTTACTTCTTTTGTCACTCCTCTCGAATCTTGGATAGAAACCTTATTTATTTGTTCATTTTTTAAAAAAAGTAAGTTTATCCAAAATTTTTTAAATCTTGTTTTACTTTTACAAGAAATATTTTAATTTTTTCTCTTTATGTGAACTTTATTCTACTTCGAAGGCTCCATGCTGTGGATTAAGGCACAGTTCAACCTAAGTCATTCAACCATTGAAGGTTCTTAACAAAGCACCCCAGCACTGGGGAGGCCCCTGGGCCACTGCCATCGGTCCACCCTAATAATCACCAAGCCTGTCCTTGCCCAACCCTCCATGATTCCTTCAAGTGCAGAAGATCTAACCTCTCATCTGGGAGTACCTACCGTCTCCCAGACACCAAGCGTAATCCAGTCTACACAGTCTTTAAAGTGCTTTTCAGGTTTATTCAAAACACAAACAGGAGCCAGCAGATGGCTTGGAGGTTAAGGCGCTGGATCCCATATGGCCAGCTCAGTGGTTTGAGTCCCAAGCCCGGTGGTTTAAAACTTGGGCCAACCGCATGTGCATGCGTGCCCAAAATTCCAAGAGAGAATGAAGGAGAAGGGATTGCAGCATGGCCGTTCTCTCCAGGGGATGACTTCTCACTTTCCCTCTTTCTGTATCTCTCTCCAGCAAGCACACGTGTTCTATAGCAAAAACTAGGAGAGAGAAAAAAAATAAAAAAACACGCAACACTTTTTGAGGCTGACCCATGAGTGAAGGTTCTAGGTTCACATCTGGAGATTTCCCTGAGTGTGCAGGGCATGCCCAAGATCCAGGGCTGGCTGAATAGGGTACTCATGGTGGTTCGGAACCCATTGGAGGTGTGCACATATTCTCCCTCTCACGTGTGTGTGTGAGCTCATAGAAGAAATAAACATTTTTGGGACCAGCAGTTAGTGCAATGGCTATGTCGCTGGACTCCCATGTAGTCGACCGCGATTCGAGTCCCAGACCCAGTGGCTTAAAACTCACGCCGGGCGCATGTGCGTGCGTGCCCAAGATCCCAAGAGGAGAATGAAGGAGAAGGGATTGTGGCGTGGCCATCCCCCCGGGGAGTGATTTCTCGCTTTCTGTCTCTCTGTCTCTGTCTGTCTGGCGAGCGCACACGCCCTATGGCAAAAACCTCTCCAAAATAAAAAAGAAAAGAAAAAAGAAACAAACATTTTTAAAGGGTTTTAAGATTATTAATTTGATGAGAGATAAATTATTTTTTAATTCAGTAATCATGAAACACTTTCCTCAACCAAATCTTACTACTGTAGATGTTGTCCTAATTTTATTGCTCAGAATGTTGAACTCAGAGAAGTTAATTTGCCCAAGATTACATAATGGTGGTGTCAAAATTTGAGCCCACAGCTATTTTTTTAATTAATTAATTACTATTGTTATTTTAATTTGACCAGAGAGAGAGAGAGAGAAAGTGAGAAAGCAAGCCACCAGGTCTGGTACTCAAACTGTGGTCAACCATGTGGGGAGTCCAGTGCCTTAACTACCATGCCACCTTCCAGCCCCATAGCTATCTCAAACTTAGGTCAATGAATGTCCTTTCTCCTACATAATGCTTTGAACTCCAGGGCTGGTTCACTCCTATGAGTTTTTTTCTTTTATTGCCCAAATAATGCGGTCTGGTAGACTCCCTTCACTGGGCCACACATCTTTGCCAAATCCTTGAATACCAATAAATACCTGAAACCTTGTTCTAAAAGACACTATAAAATGTAAGAATGACACCTAGTTTACCTCATGTTCATACACAGCAGCAGTGTACAGTATTCGCAGTAAAACGCAAGGAGGAAGTTTAACACGAGATAGCAGGAGAAGCCAGTTCTAAAGGAATTAGGTGATTAGTTTGAGGAAACTCGGTAATACCTCTGAATATATCATAACTTTATCTTGTTTCTGTTTTAAGATGTTTGCACTAGCTGGAGAAAGAGACAGAGAGAGAGAAAGTGAGAAAGTACCACCTCTTCCCTCCTCACAGGGGATAGCCCTGCCACAGTCCCTTCTTCGTTTTCCTCTGGGGATTTTGAGCATGCACACACACACACGTGCACACATGCACACACACACAGCATGATTTTCAAGCCACTGGATCAGGAACTCGAACCGCACAGCCATGTGGAATCCAGAGCCCTAACCACCACACCACCTGCTGGCCCTATAACTCTATCTTGTTTATGTGTTTATTTTTTTAAAAAGAAGTTTTTAGCAGAGAGCACGTGCACTCACTGGAGAGAGATAGAGAGAGAATGAGAAAGTGCCTCCCATGGGGAATAGTCACACCATAATGTCTTCTCCTCATCTCTTCCTCCTTTGAAGATGTTGGGCACATACACACACATATGCCTGGCATGTTTTTCAAGCCACTAGGTCCAGGACTCAAACTGCATAGTCAGGGACCAGCAGATGTGATGGTTACATCGCTGGACTCCCACATACTTGGCTGCTGTTCAAGTCCCAGACCCAGTGGCTTAAAACTCACACCAGGCACGTTGCATGCGTGCCCAAAATCCCAAGAGGAGAACAGAAGAGGGGATTGTCGTGGTCATCCCCCCTGGGGCGTGATTTCTCACTTTCTGTCTCTCTGTCTCCCTCCATCTCTCTGGTAAAAGCATGCACCCTATAGCAAAAATTTCTCTTTAAAAAAAAAATTGTCTAATCGGCCATGTGGGATCCAGCCGCCTTCACCACCACACCTCAGATTGGTCCTGTTTATCTTTATGTCAGATAAAATTGAACATTACTAGCAAATAGCAAACAGGGGCTACTGACAATGATTTGCTTAAGGAAACATTTGTAGCTATTTAAAGTTAGTAAGAATTTGAGGACCAGCAGTCAGCGTAATGGCTATGTAGCTGGACTCCCCTGTAGTCGACCACAGTTCAAGTCCCAGATCCGGTGGCTTAAACTCACACCAAGTTTGAGGAAACTCGGTAATACCTCTGAATATATCATAACTTTATCTTGTTTCTGTTTTAAGATGTTTGCACTAGCTGGAGAAAGAGACAGAGAGAGAGAAAGTGAGAAAGTACCACCTCTTCCCTCCTCACAGGGGATAGCCCTGCCACAGTCCCTTCTTCGTTTTCCTCTGGGGATTTTGAGCATGCACACACACACACGTGCACACATGCACACACACACAGCATGATTTTCAAGCCACTGGATCAGGAACTCGAACCGCACAGCCATGTGGAATCCAGAGCCCTAACCACCACACCACCTGCTGGCCCTATAACTCTATCTTGTTTATGTGTTTATTTTTTTAAAAAGAAGTTTTTAGCAGAGAGCACGTGCACTCACTGGAGAGAGATAGAGAGAGAATGAGAAAGTGCCTCCCATGGGGAATAGTCACACCATAATGTCTTCTCCTCATCTCTTCCTCCTTTGAAGATGTTGGGCACATACACACACATATGCCTGGCATGTTTTTCAAGCCACTAGGTCCAGGACTCAAACTGCATAGTCAGGGACCAGCAGATGTGATGGTTACATCGCTGGACTCCCACATACTTGGCTGCTGTTCAAGTCCCAGACCCAGTGGCTTAAAACTCACACCAGGCACGTTGCATGCGTGCCCAAAATCCCAAGAGGAGAACAGAAGAGGGGATTGTCGTGGTCATCCCCCCTGGGGCGTGATTTCTCACTTTCTGTCTCTCTGTCTCCCTCCATCTCTCTGGTAAAAGCATGCACCCTATAGCAAAAATTTCTCTTAAAAAAAAAATTGTCTAATCGGCCATGTGGGATCCAGCCGCCTTCACCACCACACCTCAGATTGGTCCTGTTTATCTTTATGTCAGATAAAATTGAACATTACTAGCAAATAGCAAACAGGGGCTACTGACAATGATTTGCTTAAGGAAACATTTGTAGCTATTTAAAGTTAGTAAGAATTTGAGGACCAGCAGTCAGCGTAATGGCTATGTAGCTGGACTCCCCTGTAGTCGACCACAGTTCAAGTCCCAGATCCGGTGGCTTAAACTCACACCAGGTATGTGTGCACATGTGCCCAAGATCCTGAGAGGAAAATGGAGGAGAAGAGATTGCGATGTGGCCATTCCCCCTGGGGGAGTGATTTCTCACTTTCTGTCTCTCTGTCTCTCTCTGTCTTTCTGGTGAGCACAGGCACCCTATAGCAAAAACCTCTCCAAGAAAGAAAGAGAAAGAAAGAGAGAGAGAGAGAAAGAAAAAAGAAAGAAAGAAAATTAATAAGAATTTGGCTTTTTGTAGGATGCTATAGTTATACACGAAGTGTATGAAGAAGGAGCAGCAGCCAGAGATGGCCGACTTTGGGCTGGTGACCAGATATTAGAGGTAGGTATTTTGAATTTTGTTTTCTCCCAGTAATTATGGTATCTTTGCTGACTTTGATTCACAAAGTCAATTTTTCTGTCTTTTTAATTGTATTTTCACTGGTTTCTCTGCCATTTCATGAAACATGTACCATATTTTGTTGTTTTTTTCCCCCCGGTGTGCACTGAACAACTAGGTTTAAAATCTAAATCTGTGTAAACTCCTTTTAATTAAAAGTATCACATTTAGTTCTGTCATTGGAATATCAAATGCAACTGTATGATATTGAGATTTTTTTTTTTTTTGGTCTCTCTGTGTACCTTACTGATTCTCTCCTAAAACCACATGCATACAGACACAAATACATAAACATACACACCTGGTATTTTAAACACTTGGTCGACCATGGTTCGGATCCCCAGCCTGGTCATTCTGAAGCACACAGGGTGCACGTGTGAGTGGCAAGATATGACAGGCGGGAGGAAGAGGACCATAGCACGACCTGACCCTGTCACGAGTGCTCCTTTCCCTCTCGTTCACTCTCACGTGCACATGCTCTATTGTGAGTATAGAAAAAACGTTGAAATGTGTGACTTGACTCTTTCAAATCGACTCTCATTTAGCCAAGTCGTTAAAGCCTTTAAAATAGTGCCAAGGCAGGCCGTGTCTAACTAGGGAACGGACAAAGGAGAAGCCAATGCCAAGCGTTCTAGTAGGTGGAACTAAAGAGCTTTCGATGGTGTGAAACCTTTAGGCAATGTTTATTTCTTTCATTGGACGAATTTAATTGAATAGTTAGCATTTTATGGTGGGTATGTGCATTTTTGCTCTGCAACTTTAATGTAGCACATTACCGAATGACATCATAGACTTTTATTTCTCCCTTTGGTGGTACATTTCTGCCTCCCAAGATGAAACCAGAGATATAATTAAGGGCAGAAAACATAGGCGAGAAGGGTTAAAGGAGAGGGCAGGCTGACTGCAAATTAAATTTAGGTCGAGTTATAGGGTTTCTCTGCAGGCTTTTACTGTGCTTCATCATTGGATTAGGATGTATTCCCAGTACATTCATTAAGTACAAGTGTATGAGGTTAGAAAAATAAGCAAGGCCTCGCTGGGAATTGGCTTGCCGGCGTTAGCATGCAACAGTTTTTTAGTGGTTAGGAGTTCTGAATTTTTTTTCAAGTCTTTGTTTTTGATTTCCCCTCCCTAGATTGTCTAAGCAGATGGTATTATCATAATTGGCTTTTTAAGATGAGTAGACCAACTATTAAAAATGGCACAGGTACACAGATGCCTTGCTGCTTATCTACGTTGTAGACTCACTGATTATGCTGTACGGGTCACGTGGAGCTCAGTCGGGATGTTGCAGTGGTTTCCCAGGTACCGACACACATATGTCAGACCTATCAAACTGTACACTTTAAAGGGGGTAGTTTATTTTATACCCATTACAAATTAATAAAGATATTTTAGGACCAGCTTGTGACCTGCTGGCTAAGGCAGTTGGATACGAATGTCAAAACAGTTCAAATCCCAAACCCGGCAGCTTGAAAAACATAACAGGCATGTTTGCCCAAAATCCTGAAAGGTAGGAGAGATGGAGAAGAAGGGATTATGGTGTAACCACGCCCCCTAGGGGACGTTTTCTCTCTCTCTCTTTCTCTCTCTCTCTCTGTTTCTCTCTGGTAACCGCACATATCCTCTGACAAACTTAAGAAAGCTTTTTTAGGGAGCTTTTTGCTATAGGGCACGTATGTTCGCCGGAGAGACAGAAGACAGAAAGCAAGAAATCAATCACCCCCTGGGAGGGATGGCCACTCCACAATCCCTTCTCCTCCATTCTTCTCTTAGGATTTTGGACATGTATGCACATGCACCCAGCATGAGTTTTAAGCTACCTGTCCCGGGACTTGATCCGCGGTCGACTGTGAGGGAGTCCAGCGACATAATTATTATGCCATCTGCTTTTTTTTAACTGTCTGTTTCTGTTAGTGGAAGCTTAGCTGTAGCTGCTGCCTTCCATAAAGTATATACATGTACAAGCGAATTCTCAGTATGAGTTCATTTAGCATGAAAAAGGCAAATTTAAGTGGAAGGAGAATTTTTTTTTACATTTTTGTCAGAGGGCGCATGTACTCACCAGAGAGAGAGAGAGAGAGAGTAAAAAGCACACCCCAGACCCCATGTGAAATGATCACACTGTAGTCTCTTCTCCACTTCTCCCTCTTTTGGGGATTTTGGACATGCATGCACATATGTCTGTCATGGTTCTCAAGCTGTGGGATCCAGCTGCCTTAACCACCATGCCCCAGGCTGCCCTTGGCAGGAGAATTTGAAAGGTCAAGTTAACCATATCTGGCATCTAGCAGAATTATACCATCCAATCCAGTTGAGAAGACTAGACTTCTCACTAAAGACAGCAGTCCGTGCTCTTCTGCCGCAGATGGGATCTAGTTCATGAGAACACGTTATGTGTTCAGGTATGACATAGAACTCTCAGTCTGGTCAAGTAACATGTTTTCTTTCCTTTTTTTCTTTTTTCTTTTTTGTTCTATCAGGCTCAGGCACTTGCCTGAGAGAGAGAGAGAAGGAAAGTGAGAGATCACCTCCCAACCCCACCCTCCAGAGGGACTGGCCATGCCACAATCCCTTCTGCAGTCTCCTCTGGGGATTCTTGGCATGCAAGCACATGCGCCGAGTGTGTTTTTCAAGCCACTGGGTTCAGGACTCGAACTGCACAGTTGGTGATATTGAATCCAGCCACCTTAACCACCACAGCTCCAGCTGGCCCCTTTTCTTTCCAGGCAGTTTTAGATTCCACTTGGGACTTACTCTGTTCGGTTGTCAGAAAAGTCATGACATATTTTTGCATAGAAAACCATGTGATGACTTCCAACCACCGATAGTGGTGGCTGATGAAGACAAATGCCTCGTGAAGCATCATCAGCCATGGCCTGCAGTTTGCCTTGAAAAGAAGACAGGCCAGCTTTGGTGGGACATTGTAAGATCCGGAAACAAGGGAGACCATCTGAAACACTGACCTTTCCACCCAGCATCTTCTTCATTCTGCTAGCCGGTTTTGACACCGTCCTTCTGTTAAAATTAGGATAAGCTATATTTTGCTTTCAAAGATAACAGTCAAATCTTTTTGTTCTTTTTTTTTTTTTTTTTTTTAGAGAGATTTTTGCTGTAGAGCGCATGCACTTGCAAGAGAGACAGAGAGACAGAAAGCAAGAAATCATCTCCCAAGGAGGATGGCCACACCACCATCCCTTATACTTTCGGGATTTGGGGCATGCATGTATACATGCCCAGCGTGAGTTTTAAGCCTCCAGGTCTGGGACTTGAACCACAGTCGACTATGTGGGAATTCAGTGATTTAATCAGTACACTATCTGCTGGTCCCCAGGTAATTGTTTTTAAAGAAATAATACAATCTTTTTTTTGAGAATGAATGACCATTTACTTTTTTTTTTTTAAATAATTCTTTTTATTTATTTTTATTCATTTTTATTTTAACTTGACCAGAGAGGGACAGAGTAAGAGAGAGAGAGAGAGAAAGTGAGAAAGCAAGCCACCAGGTCCAGGACTCAAACCACAGTCAGCCATGTGGGAGTCCAGCACCCTTAACCACCATGTCACCTACCAACCCCACGATCTTTTTTTTTTTAAATTTTTAAAAATGTATTTATTTTTTATATTGACCAGAGAGAGAGAGGGAGAGGGAAAGTGAGAAAGCAAGCTATCAAGTTTGGGACTCAAACTGAGGTCAGCCATGTCAGAGTCCAGCACCTTAACCACCTCCTGGCCCCAAATAATGTTTTAACATGGCAAGATTTATCATAATATGATGGGCATGAACTTTCTCCTCTTTCTGATTCTCCTTTTAGGCCAATCTTTCTTCTTCCCCTATCCCTGCTGCCATGAACCCCATGTGTTTTGGTCCAAGGGGGAGCAGAAAGAGTAGAGAGTTAATGCCTGGTTCTTCCCCATGGAATAACATAATGAGGAACTGCTGCCCTAACTTGGTTATCCTTTCCGTCCCAGTTAGTGGTTCACCCAACTCCTCTCATGCCTCCTCTCATTCTTTACCCAAAGGATGTGATACATCCTCACTGACAACTGGGGCTTCCTAGAGCCCTTCGGGTAGGGAGCCCTGCTATTACCACCCTCCTGCTCTCTAATCAATGCTCTAAATAATGCATACAGTGTGTGGAGGCACTTAAGGTATGACATCACTCCATAATACTCTAGCCACACAGTGATGCTTCTGTCATTACTGGCACATTTAGTGGTGTCTCTTAATAAGGAGAGGAACAAGCAGAAAGCATGAGCTTAGGTCATTTTGCTCTGAACAGATACTTTAATGCAGAAATATAGTAGAAATTGCCTTTGTAATATTCAAGTTTAATGACCATGCATTTAATTAGAAATATATTTGTTAGGGCCTTTCAAAGGGTATGTTAGAGGCTTAGAAAGTTCACCTTTGATCCATGGAAATAATCTTTTTTTCTTTCTTAATTGCATAACAAAAGTGGTCTTGTGTGCCGTCTGTTGGAATGTAGGAAAAGAATCAGCTCAGACCACCTTTCCAGAGACATGCTTTCCCCCTTTGTTCTGTGGCTTATGTGGCAAACAATGAAAATGCCTTCCTTGACCTAAAGGAACAGTGCCTGATTGTGCTAAGAGGAGAGCAGCCCTGCGCAGTTAGTTCAATTCCTAGTAAACATCAACTTCGAACTTTTTAAATGATTATCCTGTTTATTTATTTATTTGCTAGAGAGCACATGTGCTCACGAGAGAGGGAGAAAGCAACCCCAGTGGGGCGTGATCACACCATAGACCCGCCTCTTCCATTTATCCATCCCATCAAGATTTGAGGCTTGGGGTGGGCAGGTGGTGTGGTGGTTAGGGGTGCTGGATTCCACATGGCCAACCACAGTTCAAATCCCAGGCCTGGCAGCTTTCTCTCTCTCTCTCTCTCTCTCTCTCTCTCTCT